TAGAGGTACACAGATTATTAAAAGTTAAGGTTAGATGGTTGTATGCAAAAAGTTAAATCAAAATAAAAATAAATATAAGTACATTAGTTATTGTATATGAGACAAATAAAAAATTACTCAGATGTACCAATATAATAATAACTGCTTGCATACATACAATTAAAACTTGTATATAATAAATAAAAATATATATATCGAACAAGAAACTGGGTTATCACACTGACGATTCATAAGATTTTAAACAACAGAGACACTTTAACATAATTAATATCAACGGGGCTCATTATTTTTCTTTGAATTAATAAACATAATATTATAATAAAAATAATATAAAAATGAACGGTTGTCACATTGACAGTTGAGAAGAAATAGCTTTTAATAAGTTGTCCTAACTATATAACATTATATAATGTTAAAGATGCCCGATTCTCGATAGGCGATGGGCGTCCCAATTTGATTTTGGTTTCCGATGCTTTTAATGAAATTTTATCTGAAATTCCAAAACATAAAAAATGCACGGCATTTGCTAATTATGTACTTGAAATTTATATTGACACTGAACAATTTCCTCCTTAAATGTGGGCTGGAGACCCTAATGGTACAAAACGAACGACTAACGGTGCTGAATCATATCATAGTCAACTTTGGTTTGAATTTTATATGCATTTTCCACATCCATCTGTTTTCAAAGTTGTACTCATAAAAACTATTTATTAAAATATTTTTAGTAATTATTTTATATTTTTTAGATTGATGTTTTTATAGAACAACAAGTGATTAATGAAGCGCAAATTCCAGAAATTAAGAAATGGACTGAAGCAATACAGCGGAAATATGATCGAGAACTAGAAGCCAATTATTGGTATATCAGTACTTGCGTTTATTAACAAACAAACTGACTGTAATGGAATACCTACATAGAAAAAACGAGTTTAAATTTTAAACCAATATATGTGACTACAATATTCATATTTAAATTATTAAATTTTTATTACTTTTACTATATTACTACACATTATGACTATGTAGGTAACCGGTGAGTAGGTGACCGATTAATATATATTATATTATAATCCACTTTTCACACATAACGAATACAATTAGTGAAAACCAGAATTTTCTAACATTCAGTATCTACATTATATCGGTGTGATCTGGCAATATTTAGTATTTAATATTAGGTATTCTATTATAGTTATTTAGTGGATATATTATATTATATATATAAATGAAAAATAATTATTTGCTCCGAAGTTGTGGGCAGCAAGAAGTTCAAGCTCACAAAGGATCACTTATGCTTGCGAATCTTTTCATTCGAAATGTCGTAGTTTTTTTTGATTCTCCTAGCCCAAATATATACAAATGTTTAGGAACTTTTAAAAATATGCATACCGATACTATAATATCGATAAAACATCTAGAAAAACTAGAAAGACTATCCAGGAGACTTATATGAGAAAGAATATTATTTATATAAAATAAATAAATCAGCTAAACAATAACTAAATCACAATAAAACGTTATGTAACCAAATTAGCCAATAAAATATATAAATGCAGAAAAAATTAAAACTTAGTATAGTGTACTTTTTAGATTTATATGATTTATGATTTATTTTATGATATTATGTTTATACAATTTCAATTTTATTTTTATAAATATGTGATTGTGATTCATGATTTATATTATGATATTATATTTTAAATGACCTACCTATATTATGGCAATATCACATAAGGAACTTATAATAATTAACAGTAGATGAAAAAGTCGGGATTAGTAAATTGGGTCTCGGAAAAAAAAGGTAATCGGCAAGTTGAAATTAAAATAATAAAATATAATAAAAAGACTATGAGATGCCCTAGCTCAGTACTTCTCAAACTAGGGGCCATAGCTCTTTAGGGGGCTGTGGCTATATAACTGATAAGTCGTGAAATATTTATTTTATTTATCTTTAAACGTTTATAAAAAAAAAAACCATAATTATTTTCGACTTAAAATTAAGTGGAATAGGTTATTTAGTTATTTAACCGACAGTATCATTAATAATTGTCATTAATTTATCACCGTTTGAAAAAGTACATGTAATTTAGTATATAATTCAGAAAAAATAATTAATGATTTTGATTAAGGGGGCATAGTTGATAATTGTTAGTTTTGCATTAAATTTAGAAGCTCCATGACAAAAAAGTTTGAGAAGCACTGTCCTAGATAATGATCTTACCTTTACATTTTATAAGACGTCAATCCACTCTAATTTTTAAACTAACTTATCTAAACGTGATCTGCTGAGTGTTCAATTTGCTATGTTACGCATTTGTAAGATGGAGACAAAAAAAGTTATATTGATGCAACAATACGACAAAATAATACCTAATAATAAAACCTTAGTAATTGACATTAAGACAATGACTAAAGTTAACAATTATTATAATACACTTAGATATCATGAATTACGATTGGTTTACAAAAATGACTAGTGTTTAGGTACTTACAGTTGTGACAAGATTTAAATTGATATTGAAAAATCCAAATCCCGAAACTCGGTCTGAATCGCATACAAAGATTTGATTCATAAACATTTTTATCTGAATAATAAATCATAAATATAATTCCAAAATAAAAAAAATCATAGGTAGGAAAATAGCAATGGTGGGCAAGTTAATGAAAATAATTAACTGTGGAAAGTTAAGTTAATTCAATTAAATTGCCTTCAGTTAAGTTAAAAGTTAACAAAAAAATAAAATTTAACTAGTTAAGTTAAAAGTTAAGATGGAAAATAAAATTAACTTAACTCAGTTAAAAAAAAGTTAATTTTTTTTTTAAGTCATAATATTAATAGGTATAGGCTGTTTTTAAATATTTGTCATTTAGTACCATTATAATAGTCTATTATTAAAATAAAATCAATGAATAATGATAATAGTATAATACCTACCAAAAATTGTTTCCATATTTATTTCGATAATGTTATTTTCTAATCGCATACGTTTATTTGTATTTATAACGAATACGGCAATATAAATTATAATTTATAAATATCTCGGACGACTTTTTGTTTTGTCTATTGGAATTGTCGTATTTACCAGTAACCAGTATATTATATTATTGATATAGGTAATGATATCCATTTAAAAACTATGATATTTAGTTTTAAACCTGTTTTTAGGAATTGGAGAGTTAGATAAAACAAAAATCGGATTATTCAATACCATTAAATAATATTAAATCATTAAATAATAGAATTCGTGAAAATAGCCAGTCGATACAAGGATAGTATACTAATTATTACTCCTTAGTCTTTACTATAGTACCTATAGATTATAATATAATTTGATTATTATGAATTGATGATATTATATTATTAGAAAAATAAATTACCAAAATGGCAAAATAGAAAGAATAAGTTGTCTCTTGGTTCCACATGATAAAAATTTAATTTAATTAACTTAACTGTAAAATAATGATAATTAACTTTAAAAAGTTAAGTTTAAGCAATACAAAATTTAACTGAATAAGTTAATAAGTTAAAAACAAAAAAAACTAACTAGTTAAGTTAAAAAGTTAAAAAAAAATTAACTTTTTAACTTAACTTTAACTTTTTAACAAGTTAATGCCCACCATTGGAAAATAGAAGGTAAATAATATAGTAGTATAATATAGTATAATATAGTATAGTAGTATATAGTATAATATTAATTGAAAATCTGAATTTAATATGTTACTTGTCTTTTTTTGTCCAAGTGTAAATTTGAAATACGGTATAACCGTAGGTATGATATAATATTATACGATCACAACAAAATAACTAAAATAGTTATTCTAGGATTTTTATTATATAATTTCGTCCAAATTTGAACTTAAAATGACTATAAAAATAAACTGTGCATAGGTAATATTATATAGGTAACATATGCACTTAATTGTATTTTGTGGTATAAATTTTTTTCAAGAAGGATTTAGTATCATTGTTGAATTTTAATATCATTGGGTGATCTTTTATCTGTAACAAAGTGATTATTCCACTAATCAACAACACGAGCATCTGTGAACAAAAAAAAAAACAATAAAAACTATTTAGGTATTCAAACAGTCTAGGACCTTAGAACTACAGACCTATAATAAATACAAAACAAAATTTTAAGGCATCCCATTTGTAATTTAACAGATTAAAATGTAATGATTATATCAATGATTCTCAAAGTATCACTCGTTTACTCTAACCGTAGGTGTACCGAAAACATGGTTATCATAGTAAAGTAGGTGCCTATACTAATTGAGCACTACAATTTAACACTTAAATTAGTGGTTTTCATGATCCATCTTACTTCTGTAAGCCAAAAGTAGATATTATATAATATATTTATTCTGCAATGTTTCGAGCAAATACGTATTTGTTACATAGGTACAATGTATACATATTATAGAGGTACACAGATTACTAAAAGTTAAGGTTAGATGGTTGTATGCAAAACGTTAAATCAAACGAAAAATAAATATAAGTACATTAATTATTGTATATGAGACAAATAAAAAATTACTCAGATGTACCAATATAATAATGGCTGCTTGCATACATACAATTAAAACTTGTATATAATAAATAAAAATATATATATCGAACAAGAAACTGGGTTATCACACTGACGATTCATAAGATTTTAAACAACAGAAACACTTTAACATAATTAATATCAACGGGGCTCATTATTTTTCTTTGAATTAATAAACATAATATTATAATAAAAATAATATAAAAATGAATGGTTGTCACATTGACAGTTGAGAAGAAATAGCTTTTAATAAGTTGTCCTAACTATATAACATTATATAATGTTAAAGATGCCCGATTCTCGATAGGCGATGGGCGTCCCAATTTGATTTTGGTTTCCGATGCTTTTAATGAAATTTTATCTGAAATTCCAAAACATAAAAAATGCACGGCATTTGCTAATTATGTACTTGAAATTTATATTGACACTGAACAATTTCCTCCTTAAATGTGGGCTGGAGACCCTAATGGTACAAAACGAACGACTAACGGTGCTGAATCATATCATAGTCAACTTTGGTTTGAATTTTATATGCATTTTCCACATCCATCTGTTTTCAAAGTTGTACTCATAAAAACTATTTATTAAAATATTTTTAGTAATTATTTTATATTTTTTAGATTGATGTTTTTATAGAACAACAAGTGATTAATGAAGCGCAAATTCCAGAAATTAAGAAATGGACTGAAGCAATACAGCGGAAATATGATCGAGAACTAGAAGCCAATTATTGGTATATCAGTACTTGCGTTTATTAACAAACAAACTGACTGTAATGGAATACCTACATAGAAAAAACGAGTTTAAATTTTAAACCAATATATGTGACTACAATATTCATATTTAAATTATTAAATTTTTATTACTTTTACTATATTACTACACATTATGACTATGTAGGTAACCGGTGAGTAGGTGACCGATTAATATATATTATATTATAATCCACTTTTCACACATAACGAATACAATTAGTGAAAACCAGAATTTTCTAATATTCAGTATCTACATTATATCGGTGTGATCTGGCAATATTTAGTATTTAATATTAGGTATTCTATTATAGTTATTTAGTGGATATATTATATTATATATATAAATGAAAAATAATTATTTGCTCCGAAGTTGTGGGCAGCAAGAAGTTCAAGCTCACAAAGGATCACTTATGCTTGCGAATCTTTTCATTCGAAATGTCGTAGTTTTTTTTGATTCTCCTAGCCCAAATATATACAAATGTTTAGGAACTTTTAAAAATATGCATACCGATACTATAATATCGATAAAACATCTAGAAAAACTAGAAAGACTATCCAGGAGACTTATATGAGAAAGAATATTATTTATATAAAATAAATAAATCAGCTAAACAATAACTAAATCACAATAAAACGTTATGTAACCAAATTAGCCAATAAAATATATAAATGCAGAAAAAATTAAAACTTAGTATAGTGTACTTTTTAGATTTATATGATTTATGATTTATTTTATGATATTATGTTTATACAATTTCAATTTTATTTTTATAAATATGTGATTGTGATTCATGATTTATATTATGATATTATATTTTAAATGACCTACCTATATTATGGCAATATCACATAAGGAACTTATAATAATTAACAGTAGATGAAAAAGTCGGGATTAGTAAATTGGGTCTCGGAAAAAAAAGGTAATCGGCAAGTTGAAATTAAAATAATAAAATATAATAAAAAGACTATGAGATGCCCTAGCTCAGTACTTCTCAAACTAGGGGCCATAGCTCTTTAGGGGGCTGTGGCTATATAACTGATAAGTCGTGAAATATTTATTTTATTTATCTTTAAACGTTTATAAAAAAAAAAACCATAATTATTTTCGACTTAAAATTAAGTGGAATAGGTTATTTAGTTATTTAACCGACAGTATCATTAATAATTGTCATTAATTTATCACCGTTTGAAAAAGTACATGTAATTTAGTATATAATTCAGAAAAAATAATTAATGATTTTGATTAAGGGGGCATAGTTGATAATTGTTAGTTTTGCATTAAATTTAGAAGCTCCATGACAAAAAAGTTTGAGAAGCACTGTCCTAGATAATGATCTTACCTTTACATTTTATAAGACGTCAATCCACTCTAATTTTTAAACTAACTTATCTAAACGTGATCTGCTGAGTGTTCAATTTGCTATGTTACGCATTTGTAAGATGGAGACAAAAAAAGTTATATTGATGCAACAATACGACAAAATAATACCTAATAATAAAACCTTAGTAATTGACATTAAGACAATGACTAAAGTTAACAATTATTATAATACACTTAGATATCATGAATTACGATTGGTTTACAAAAATGACTAGTGTTTAGGTACTTACAGTTGTGACAAGATTTAAATTGATATTGAAAAATCCAAATCCCGAAACTCGGTCTGAATCGCATACAAAGATTTGATTCATAAACATTTTTATCTGAATAATAAATCATAAATATAATTCCAAAATAAAAAAAATCATAGGTAGGAAAATAGCAATGGTGGGCAAGTTAATGAAAATAATTAACTGTGGAAAGTTAAGTTAATTCAATTAAATTGCCTTCAGTTAAGTTAAAAGTTAACAAAAAAATAAAATTTAACTAGTTAAGTTAAAAGTTAAGATGGAAAATAAAATTAACTTAACTCAGTTAAAAAAAAGTTAATTTTTTTTTTAAGTCATAATATTAATAGGTATAGGCTGTTTTTAAATATTTGTCATTTAGTACCATTATAATAGTCTATTATTAAAATAAAATCAATGAATAATGATAATAGTATAATACCTACCAAAAATTGTTTCCATATTTATTTCGATAATGTTATTTTCTAATCGCATACGTTTATTTGTATTTATAACGAATACGGCAATATAAATTATAATTTATAAATATCTCGGACGACTTTTTGTTTTGTCTATTGGAATTGTCGTATTTACCAGTAACCAGTATATTATATTATTGATATAGGTAATGATATCCATTTAAAAACTATGATATTTAGTTTTAAACCTGTTTTTAGGAATTGGAGAGTTAGATAAAACAAAAATCGGATTATTCAATACCATTAAATAATATTAAATCATTAAATAATAGAATTCGTGAAAATAGCCAGTCGATACAAGGATAGTATACTAATTATTACTCCTTAGTCTTTACTATAGTACCTATAGATTATAATATAATTTGATTATTATGAATTGATGATATTATATTATTAGAAAAATAAATTACCAAAATGGCAAAATAGAAAGAATAAGTTGTCTCTTGGTTCCACATGATAAAAATTTAATTTAATTAACTTAACTGTAAAATAATGATAATTAACTTTAAAAAGTTAAGTTTAAGCAATACAAAATTTAACTGAATAAGTTAATAAGTTAAAAACAAAAAAAACTAACTAGTTAAGTTAAAAAGTTAAAAAAAAATTAACTTTTTAACTTAACTTTAACTTTTTAACAAGTTAATGCCCACCATTGGAAAATAGAAGGTAAATAATATAGTAGTATAATATAGTATAATATAGTATAGTAGTATATAGTATAATATTAATTGAAAATCTGAATTTAATATGTTACTTGTCTTTTTTTGTCCAAGTGTAAATTTGAAATACGGTATAACCGTAGGTATGATATAATATTATACGATCACAACAAAATAACTAAAATAGTTATTCTAGGATTTTTATTATATAATTTCGTCCAAATTTGAACTTAAAATGACTATAAAAATAAACTGTGCTTATGTATTTTTTAGATTTTTTGGTAACAGAATTAACTACCTACGTGGAATCTTGTTTTAAATTTTCAATCCTTAGATATAAAAGTTGAACATTTTATACATTTTTAACTACAAAATAATTATTCAATTTCAAATTTGATAAATTTTATCGAAATTCGATCTTTAAATGCTTATAAAAAATATTTTTGCCTATGTACTTTTAATATTTTTCAACTGATATTGTAACAATATATCAAGAGCCTTATATTAAATTTTTACACTTTTTGGCCCAGCAGATAAAACTTTATTGATATTTATAGAAAAAAAACTAAAAAAATTGGAAACTGAAAATGTCCGTAAACAGCTCAAAAGAGTCAAAATATTTTCAAAACTGTATGGTGTATAGGAAATGCTAATATAAAATATATTCAGTGAAATTTTCATGTATCTACAATTATTCGTTTTTGAATTACAACAAAATAAGGAAATCGCTACATGAGAAATCGAGTGAATATCCAATTTCAAACGCTCATAAAAATTTAATTTGACATTCTTATTGACATTTTTTTTTTTGATAAAGGTAGATAATCTTATAAGAAATCTTGTATTACATTTAAAAACCTTAGATTTAAAAAGAAAATTTTTTACGAATTCTTAGCTTAAAATAATTTGCTAATTTTCGTGATTTTTCCATATTTTGTCAATTTTTGAAATTTAAATACTTATAAAAAAATACTGTGACTAAGGAGTTTTAATATTTTTCAATTTTTAGTTTTAGCCATTGTTACAATATAGTAGGAGCCTTGTATTACAATTTCAAGCTTTTTTAACCAACAAATAAAATTGTATTGATATTTTTAGAAAAATAATTTTTAAAAAAAATGGAAAATTAAAATGTGCCTAAACAGTTCAAAATAAATCAAAATATTTTGAAAATGTTATCGTGTATAGAAAATGCTAATAGAAACATTCCGTCAAAATTGCATGTACCTACGGTCATTTGTTTGAGAGTTGCACCAAAAACCAAACTCGATTAATTTGTAAACAGATTTTAGTGTAAAAATTCCCGTTTTTCCTTAATTTTTATTTTGTTTTTCACCCCGCTTTTGAAAACTACTTTGAAATTTTCACTTTTGACCCCCCTTAGTACCAACTAGATTCACTTTTCTATCGGAAAAGCTACTGTTAAAGAAAATCCAAGGACTTTTACTGTCCTAAAACGTGATGACAGACACAAAAAAAAATTAAAAAATTAAAAAAAAACACACATCATTGTAAAATCAATACATTCATCGTTCCACTCAGAATCTTTAATATAAGCTTTTTTGAATATCTCAAAAATTATTACAATTATAAAAGAAAGTTCCAAATAAAAGTTATTTATTAGACACAGCTTCGACAAGAATTTCAAATAAAATAATTTGCCAGACTCTTAAACAAAAGAATAAGACGTACACTACTATTTAACCATAGCCATAATATTATTGTAATTATTTTTCTTATTTTTTAATGCTAATATAACTAGTGACTACTGAGTACTATACATAGTAGCATAATACATTTAACAACAAATATTTATATTATTTAAATTGCAATTTAACCATACACAAATTATTTTCATTATTATTGAATTATTATTATTATTATTATTATTATTTAATGCCTGTATCACTACTGCTAAACTATATAGTATATATAGTAACAGAATATATTTAACGACAACAATTTATATTAATTATTCTTAACGATGTAATTATTATTACAAATTATTTGAGTGTATAGAAATATATACTATTTGTCTACTTAAAATGTTAATTAATATCTATGGATAGAGAATATAAAAGAGTTGAATTTGATCTACTACATGATATATGATAGATACTTTAATTGAATCTTCAAATAGACTTAAAAAAAATGGCGCATATAGACTAATCTTAGACTTATCATAGACATCTTCATTTACATCACATGTATGTCTTAAGCCTTAAGCCTATGATGGATTGGTATATTAGACGTCTAA